CTGCGGGCAGCCACCCCGCGGCTGGGGCCTGCCGCTGGCCTCCGTTCCCCGGGCGGCCTCAGCATCCTTCTCCTCGGCCAAGCCCAGGATTTCCTCGTTGCTCGTTAAATGCTCCTGGCTGAGGTCAGAAAGTGAAAACTCCAGGCTGTCCTCGCGCCAGATGTCGGCCGATTTGGAGCGCTTCTTCTTGAAGCTGGCCGTCTCCATGAAGTTTGTCCCGTTGGCCGCGTATCGATGGGACCTCCCGTCACCCTCAGCCAGGAACGGCGGCTCGTCCCCATAGAGCCTGCTCTCCTCCGAGTCAGGCATGCTCTGGACGGAGGCGGCAGTGAGGACGGTGCTGCTGTCCACGCTGGGGGTGACGGAGGAGTCGGTGTGGTAGGAAACGGGACGCAGGACCATGTCCACCCGGTCCACCCAGATGGGGCTTCCAAAGTCCTCTAGGTTGGCCTCCTGGGCGAAAGGCTCCAGGCCGTTCTCCGCCAGGGACTGGGGGATGCTGGGTGTGCTGCTGGAGCGGGTGCTCACTTCCGAGTTACGGTGGATAATTTTTCCAGAAGAAGCATGCCGCGTCCGGCGAGAGGCTTTATTGGAGAGGCGAAGGGAGCGGGAAGTGTGCTTGCGGCCCAGGCCGGTGTGCTTGTCCCCGTAGAAGGCGTGCTCCACGCTCTGGCTCTCCGCGTTTCCCATGGCGTCACGGTCTGCAAGGGGAGAGAGCGGCGACTGTTAAAGGCAGCAATCAAACACGCAGGCAAGAAGACACATGGACGCCCCAGTACACTCAAAAGAGGTTTGGGGTTTTTATTTTAATGAACCTGTCCCGAAACCTACACCACAGCTTCCACCGGGTCTCACAGGACATGCTTAAACAGCGGCAACTAATCCCACAGAATGAATTAAGAGAGCCGGCCACCGTACCAGCAAACTTATAAATACATCTCAGTTAAATCAGTACGGAAGAAAAAGCGAGATGATAGCTATGCTGGTGTGAACGAAGAGTGTAGGAGAGGGAAGGAAGGACTGAACCTTGAGGCTTGGTGTGAACTGGAGCCAGCTTACCACCAAAGCGCGCAGGCAATCTCAGCTCTGCGCACACTCGACTCTTAGCATTAGCTTCGCAACTCCAGCCAACACTACAAACTCAATAAATCAACAGCTATTGTTTATTTGCATGTAACAAGATGCCAAAAAGTTGATGGATATATGCCTTTATCTGAGAGTCCACTTTTTTTTTTTTTTTGCTAGGAACTGCAAATTGAAGCACCAAATAGCAAAGTACAAATTCAAGTGTTCGGCAGTGAGCTAATGATAGGTTTCATTTCTGGAACAAAAAAACAGTGCAACATTAAGCAGGTACAGAGAGCCCCACACAAGAAAGCCATATTATGAAAAATAAATTAGCATGAGTGACTCAGACTATACAAAAATAACCTTTCCTTCCTACTCACTCTGAAGCAGATAGGTAGATCTAAGCGCTTTGATCTAGCAAAGAGAATACTGAGCTGGAACGCAAGGGCTGGGTTTCTGTCCCCATCTCTGTACCATTCAGTGCATTACTCAGTTGTGCAGGTCCCACCGTGAAGCAGGGCTCCCATCCAGAAGGTGGGAGTGATGATCTGGACTCAACCTTGGAAAACACTGTGAGGTCTGTGATCTCACTCCACAAATGTCAGAAATATTTTATCAGTAGTATTGGCTCCTTCTGGCCAAAGAGCAAGAAGAACAAGAAAAGTAAATGTTAAAGTACGTGGCCGTTCAAAATTAAATAGGAGATCCTGAATTACACACAAGACAATTATATCTAGATAAACAGTCCATAAATCTTGAACAGAAATTCCAAGACAAAACTTCCTCGTTTTGTGGTATTTCTGTTAGTCTTGGTTGAAAAAAGAAAAGCTGCCCTGACAGTAAAATAGCCTGGAGTTTTTCATTTCTTGGGGCAATTTCCTCTCTAACAGGATGCGCCGATGGGTATTGAGCCAGATGCCGGCAGAATGAATGTGACGGTGTATTTTCCCTCGCTATCTAAAGACACCCTATCGCTGTTGCAGAGAACCGATTTAGCCCTACATCAATTACAGAGAAAGCGAGGAATCGATTGTGCTAACGCAGGCCCAGCCCTTCTGCGGCAGGCTGCCCTGGGCGCACACGGCAGGACCGAACTCGTGCGGGGATACTTCTGACCACAGCCAGGGCGCCGCGCTTCTCTTCTCCCCAGCAAAGCCGGTCGAGCCTGATGCTAAAAATCTGTTCAGTGATGGAGCAACAGGCACCTCCATAAATATCTGGACATTTCTGTATCTAAAATAAACATAATTGCATGCGAAGTAAACTATAGCAGGAAATACCCTATGTCTACTGAAATTAATGGCTGAACTCCCATTGACTGTCATGAGACTCGGTTATCATGCATTGTTTAGAAAAATAAATGCGCTGAAGAGAAAGCAGGTTTTAATCTAAAAAGAATGACAGCATTATAAATCCCTAGACAGGGTTTATTATTGCCTAAAGGTTACAGCCCTTTGATACGGACTAAACTGAAAAACAAATGTCAGCTAGCTTTTGCTTCTAAAGCGTTTTAAAGCACAAACCCTGCATTTTGTCCTCCACACTGATCTCTAAAACCAGACCTCAACACTCCCCATCCTGCAAAAGAAACCCTCCCAGGGCAATGCTTTTAGCTGCTTTGATTCTGAGACTCTTGCTAACCACACTTGCATTCGACAGGATTTCCACCGGCTGCGAAGCCCATCGGGGCACACAGCCATTCATCCCTG